ACAAACACTACTGTATCTGGGATTCATTATATTTGGTATGATTTCATCCCCCAGCTTAGAAAAGAATGTGTGGCATACTGAAGATTCTTAATATGTTTATTTATATGAATGGATTTTTATAAGAAAAGATAATTCAAGGTATTCTTTAACTATGAAATACTGAACATCATCTATGGTTATTACTATGGAAGAAGGCTGTTTGCCAAAGATGACTTTCCCATTCTTGAGTTTACCTCAAGAAAGGATGATCTCTAATTTCTTCCCCATGGCCACTTTATAGTCACTTGGATGAATCATTAAAACTCCAGTAAACAGAGGCTGGTATTGTAACTCAGTGGTAGAGCACTGGCCTAGCATGTGTCAGGCACTGGGTTCTACCCTCAAAACCACAGAATATAAATAAATAAAATAAAGGTATTTTCTCTGTCTACAACTAAAAACAAATAAAAAATAAAAATTATATGAATCAGTTAAATTCTAAAATCAGTAAATTTTTAAATATTATTTTTATCTTTTTTTTGCAGGTAACATCATTGATTCTCACAGCCTTAACTACCAGCTATGAAATGCTGATTCCCAATTTTGTGTCTCTCAGCGAAATTTCTACCCTTATCCATAATATTCCAATTTCCAGTTATCAATAATTTTTTTACCTGAATGTCCCACAAGGACTCAAATTCCTTGAATTTTATCTTTCCTTTTTCCCTTCTGTTCTTCATTTTAAATGATAACATCATCATATTGTCTTTGGAGCTTCACAGCCAAGTTATTTCACTCTGGCTACTTAAACATGGTCCATAGACAAAGAATGTTTGCATCACTGTGAACTGATAGAAATACTAAATCTCAGGCCCTGCACCAGACCTGCAGCACGTACATCAGAACCTACCTTTAAATTCCCAGGAAATTCATACGCACATAAAAATTTGAGAAACACTTGTCTGTAATTGCCTTTATCCGTACCCCTATACATCAACTCTAACACAAAGTCAATACAGTCAAATATACAAAAATGCTGCAATGGCCTCTTAGCTGATATCATTCCTTATTCCACTTGTTCTTACTCAGAATTTCAGAAGAAACACTCTGATGTACAGCTACATTGAGGTCAAAAAGTTCACTGACTAGGACCCTGTATAATATAGTTTGTTTTTCCTATGTTACATTCTAAAATCTGAAAATGTTTACTTAATTGTTTACATAGAAAATTTGCAACCAAAAAGAGTTTTAGAATCACTTTTATCATGACTTTTTGTTATAATCATTTTCCACATTGACCTCAAGTTTCTTTCAAAAGCACAAAGCTGATCATGTCACATCCCTAACATCTTTCAGTGGCTTCTCAACATATGTTTTACTTCTGTACCTCTGCCTTTCTGTTCATATTTTCTCCTTCCTCCTTGCAAAAATTTTCTTCATTTTCTGAACTCTTGCTGAAGAGTCATCTCTCTAGAGAAGAATCTTGCATTTTATTAGCCTCTTTTGGTTAAAAAAAAGAAAAAGAAAAGAAGAAAAATGCTCATGACACTCATGGTAGTTTATGAAGTGCTTCTGGATGTGTCTGTCTTCACTAACAGACAAGGGCTTGTCTAAAGAAATTCTCTATGTTGGTCAGAAGCACATGGTCAATACTCAAAATACGTTAAAGGAATCAACTACTATTTATACTTAAAAACATTAGAATATATGGAATTTATTGCTGATAATAGAAACACATATGTAACCTAATAACCAATTACCATA